AATAGGAAGTTACTTGTGGCTAGAACTCAAAGTCAGGGCCAGGGATTCAATGTGTGGATTACTCGCATACAGGTAATAGTCCTAGTTACAGATCAAGTATGTAATAGTGTCATCGTGGGAGATTGTAGAGGCAGAAGAGAAAAGAGTCAAGGATGGACTATCCATATTTCAAAGGAAAGAGGGGCAGGAAAGAAGATTGCTTAGAAAGGAGACCCGGTTCAGTCAAGGCATCTAAGAGCAACGAGTTTTAAAGAGTCTTAAGATGGCAACTCCACTCTCCCTTCCCATGCCTGCCCCAGGCAGGAGGCCCACAGGCCTGCAGCTGCAGCTCCTGCACTCCCTGCCACACACACTGCACTGTAACACTAAAGGGTTTGTGCCCACCCTGCCACTATCACACAGGGCAGTGTTCAGAGGCTTCATTTCCTAGCCGAAGCTGTTCCCTTTACTCGGGCACCTTCCATCTTTCTTCTCCCACCTGACTTTTCCTCATCMTTCTCACTCACCTCAGATATCACTGCTTTCAGAAGGCTTCCCTGAACCTCGTACACATCTTTGTACCTCTAAGCCTAACACAGTGCCTAAATTTGTAGTTCAATATTTGTTTTGGTATTTAATTAACCTAAAAATGAAATATTTCACTGGTCTCCTAGTTGGTTTCCTTATTTCTGTTCTCCCCAGCCCCAGAGCATTTTGTATAGATAGATAGCAATTTTCCTAAGGCACTGTATCAGCCAAAATCATGGTTTTAATGCTTTATTAGGGTATAATTGTCATTTTTWAAAAAATTTATATTTATTTTTTGTAGTGKTAKTTGGGCACAATACCTTTATTTATTTACTTATTTATTTGTTTATAAGGTACTGARGATCGAACCCAGGGCCTTGCATGTGCAAGGCGAGCACTCTACCACTGAGCCATAACCCCAGCCCAAGGGTGTAGCACTTTATTGGRGTATAATTGTCATTCAGGAAGTTACATGTATTTAAAGTGTATAAATTTCTTCTTTAACCTATGGATATGTGAAGTATGTTTTCTAAGTTTCTAAATATTTAGAGTTTCTTCTAGGCATATTGTTAGTTATTTCTAATTCATCTTCATGTGACCAGAGAATTTAATATATGACTTCAGACTTTTAAAGCTTATGGAGACTTATGGCCTAGTACACGGCCTATCTTATTGGACAAATCATGTGGACTTGCAAACTTTTTTAAAAAAAAAAAGTATTTCATGCCATGGTTGGTGTGGTGCTTTGTAAATGTCCATTAGGTCAAGGTGGTTGATAATGTTAATTCTTCCAGAGCCCTTCTGATGTTTTGTCTACCYGTTTTATCAGTCACTGAGAGAAAGGTGTTAATATCTCCAAATATGAGTGAGATTTGTCTAATTCTTTTTTAAATTCTGTCAGGTTTGGGGGACTGAACTAAGACATATTCAAATTGCTATGTTGTACAAATATATTCTCTTTGTTTATTCATTTATTGGGAAACTGAAATCTTCTAGACATTGTAAAACTGAACTTGTAATTCATATTATTAGTTATTTACATGTGCTTATTACACATATATTTGTGTGAGTACATATGTAAGACATGAAAACATGGGTATATATGTATTTTTCTATGCATCTATCTRTATAAGCCTCACTTGGTCTTAAATTCATTGACGATAGGAATTAAAACTTCTATTTGCATATCTCTCCAGAGTGTCAATACATCCTAGTGTGAATGGTAGGTACCAATAAGTGTTTCTTGACTGATCATTTGTATTTTCAGGTTCATATGCAGTATACATTGATGTGCACAGAATCAACATATAAAGCCAACAGTACATAAATTACATAWTCACTAATTAAGTTAAACTGAATAGTTACAATCCTCCTCTATGCAAAAGCATGATGCAAGCTATAAAGTCAGAGTGCAAGAACTGTGATGTGTGATGGACACTACATGGCATATATATAATTAAGTCAAAAAATGAGTTTATAGAAATAAGTACTTGATAATTTCAGAAAAGGGGAGGATTAGGATGGAGTGGTAGACTGTTGGTAGGTAGTACTTGTTTGAAATGGTCCTTGTGTGATTGATAGGCTTTAAATAATGTGGGGAGAGGAGCATGTTCCAGTGTAAGCTGTGCAGAAGTCCCTGGTGATGGAGATCAGAGACCTGTGTAACCAGGTAGGATGAAGCGAAGGGACCAGAAGCACATGGGGTATGTAAGTAAGGAAGAGAGTGGCTGTAGACTGTCCCCTGTTGAGTAGCAATAGCAAATAAGCAATGGCTAGCCTTTAAAACCCAAGGAATGTGGATTTTGTCACTGACACAAGTGGGAATTTTTGCAGGACTTTTGAATATAAACTATAAACAACTAAAATAGTGATTGAATTGAGGAGGACTAATTTGGCATGTTGCATAGAATGAGCAGGGAGGGAACAAGAAGGCTGGTGGCAGAGAAGCCCTGTACAATCTATCTTCTGGAATCTTCAGGACTCTTCAGCTTTCTATTTAAGAAAACTTTTTCTCCTTGAGATATTCATTTTAAAATCATTACCAATTAGACTTCTTTTTGATCATAGTATTTGATTTCTTTTAAAAATTATCATTTTTAACAGAACTCTAAGCAACTGGAAGATTGCAGTCTGTTTCTCCCGGACTGTTGGGTAAGGGGGCTTGAGAGAAACACAATGACTCTAGTCAATTTGTTTCATTGAATTTTAAGGTTTTGTTCAGTTAAAAAGTTTTGTACTTAACATTAAAATAGCCAGCTATTACCGTTGACACTTTATACACCCCAGTTTTGAGATTTAGAATCAGCATTCTTATGAATATTTTCATCAGAAAGTGACTGTCATTCTGAATTGTCCTAGTTTACATATTGCTAAATTTTAAGATGACTTTATTACATATAGAACTAGGCTTTTTTGTCATATGTAAAATGAAATTCAATGGAAAGTGTTTAATGGAAATTCACCTTTAAAGAATGCTTTTATATAAATATAGTGGCATGCACTTTGGAATCCCATAAATSTAATTTCCTACTAGAGACTTATTAGTATTTTTAACAGAACCTTTTACCAACTCAATAGAACTGGGCCATATGCAAATTAGGAATATTTTAGAAGAGGTTATTTTTATCTACCAATTTTCTGTTTCCTTTAATCATTATTAAGACATTAAGCCATATTCAATTTAGAAAAACAAAGGAATGCCAGGTGCAGTGGTGCACACCTGTAATCCCAGCAACTCAGGAGGCCGAGGCAGGAAGATCACAAGTCCAAGACCAGCTTCAGCAACTAAGTGGGGCTCTAAACAACTTAGTGAGACCTTGTCTCCAAATAAAAAATGAAAAGTCTGGGGACTGGCAAGTTGCAAAGTGCCTCTGGATTCCAAAAAAGAAAAAAAACAAAGGCATTGCTTTTGCTTTAATTCTTGTGCCTCAGTTTTTCCTTTCACTCAACACCATTAAGTACTTCCTCAAGGACTGCCACTGTGAGGTGCTGGAATACAAAGGCAGCCTCTGTAAGATCTTGTCAAGGAGCCTGTTGTCAGGTGGGGCAAGACTTTTAATGAGTGAAGTATTCTCATTACAGAGTCTGAACACAATATGGTAAGATCAACAACAAGATGGGGCAAGGAAGAAAAGGAGCAGGACAAGCTTTGCAGAGAAAGTTTTAAAGGATAGGAAGATTGGGGAAAAAGAAAGGAATTCCTAGTGGAGGTAGCAGTAARTTCCTTGAATTGTCTAAATCTTGGATATACCAGCAGCATTTTCCTAGCCTCCAAAATGGTGAAAATGGGAGGAAAGGATTTTAGTATCAAAGAAAATGTTAATAGCCCAGAGCCTGAAAGTGAAGATGAGAGCCTGTCATGTGCATTATGAAGTGTGTGGCAGCGTACAGCGTGAGACACCATCACTCAGAGTGACTACACYGTTTCTGCATCCTCTTCCCTTCTGGGATCTTCAAATGATATAGTCTTCCTTTTGCCCTCTCTCACCTAGTTATGCTTCTAATTTCATGAACTCAGTCTCTTCTAAATAATTTTCTTTCTTACCTAGGTACAGATGAAATTGTTTGAGAGCAAGATAACAGTTTGCATCTATGAGTCTATAACTCATAGATTCTGTAGGCATTCTTCCATCAGGTCTACTTTAAGTTTTAGTTTCTTATAACCCCTTTAGTCTCTTCTATTTGTAATCAATAGCATGTGTCTGTCATATTTCAGGCTCTGTTCTAGGTGCTTTGTGGCATATATTTCTGATCTTGCAGAACTTACATTTTAGTAATTGTCACAACACTTCTGAAAGATCTTTTCTTCCACATGGACAAAGGATTTATTAAAATTATGCTCCTACCTAAAGTGCTGAGTTTCTTTAATGGGCTTCCTGTAGACACAAAGGGAAGAAGATGTTCTTATTCCAGGGGAAAAGTCGCCTTTTTTTAAATTTTTTTTTTTTTGTTTAGTTGTAGATGGACAAATACCTTTATTTTGTTTATTTATTTTTATGTGGTGCTGAGGATCTAACCCAGGGTCCTGCATGTGCTAGGTAAACGCTCTACCACTGAGCCACAGCCCCAGCCCCAGGAAAATGCTTTTTTGTAGTCGAGGGTTCCTTAAGGATAGACCAGTAAGATGTGGCAAAATTTTCACTAGTTTATCTTATAAAAAAATGAAAGTTTGAAGGTACCAAAAATATGGTGGTTTCAGAGACAGATAAGTGGGTGAAGGGAGAAATATTTAAAGACAAGTTATTTGAAGCTCTCCTTGCCTTGTGTTTTAGTGAGGAGAGGGAGAAGGCAGCCACCAAATGACTAAGGCATCAATTATAGCTTGGATGTGCTTTATATAGAATATAGAAGCATAGTAAGAAAACAGAAGGACTAAATAGGGAAGAAGTCTGTTGGGGCATTAAAAACCCTATTTATTAAAATTGCAATGGATCTGAAATAGAATRTTTTCAGTTTTATTTTTTAATTATGGTTCTTATTTGTTACTTTTATAGATGCTGTACCTACTCCTTCAGAAAAAAGCCCATCTCTGCAGACAAATGTGAGTTTGGACAAGAAATCAGAGAATACCATTACAGATACTGTAGCCAAAAACCCCTTGCAAACACTGCAGAAAAGGCAGGCAGCCTCAGAAAGCTTTGAAACATTGACAACTTTACCAGCATTTTGGTCAACGAGTAAAGAAGAGTTTATCAGTTCTGATTTAAGGATATCACAGTCAGATTCTACTTCCTATAACCAGTCCTCTATAGAGACACTGTATGTCTCTCCCTCATTCGAAACATGTAACCTCACGAAGGGAACTGTAATCAACGAGGACCTTCAGAAACCAGTGCAGGCCAGCACTGTTCAAGTGCAYGATGCAGACCTCAAGGCCCCAGCCACGTGGGGTGAGTCTACCAACAAACACAGTGATTTGAAGCTTTCTTTCTTCTGAAACATTCTTCTTTTACCTCCTTTTTTGTTCCCTCCTTTCACTCTTCATCAGTGATATTAAAAAGTAAAATAACATAAACATACTTCTCAATTAGGAAAATACCCCTTTTATTAAAGGGCTAGTACATAATTTATCTTTGTGGGTTACACATATTTGATTGACTATATTACCATAAATTCTGAGTAATTTGGTATAAACCAAAATAGAAGGAACTAGCATTAACCAAGAGCTTAAGAGAATACATATAAAAGAATTGGTTATGGCATATATGTATGTGTGTGTGTTTTTTTTTTAAAGGCCTTTTTTTTTTAAGGTACAAGAGACCTTGTCCTTTTCTTGTCTGTACAAAACAGTGAGAAGGCTGTGATATTGTTAGACTGGGTGATAAAGGATAGAGCCAGTTGGGMCTCCAAGTTATTGGCTGTCAGTTATTAAATCCTGTGTTATATAATTATACTTTCTTCTATAAAGTTAATTAGTATAAGAATAATTTGCTTGCTCATGCATTTTTCAAAGACTAAGTCATAGTTTTATTGGTTCTTATGTATGATAATGATTACCAATTCATAAATTCAAAATTTTCAACATGAATCCTTTAAACTGCCTCAAACACAGATCAAAAGTACATRTAAATACAAATAATGAAAGTTACCATGTTGAGGTTAAATATTTTTACCTTGTTTCTACTAAGGTCATTGAATAATAAAGATTCTCCCACTATTCTTCAAGAACCTTTTGATATTGAATAGCCTAACAGTTGTAAACCCAATTCTTAATTGTCACTAAATAAACTTTCTGCTGAGACTATTTATGTGGAAACCAATTAGTACTGGTTATGACACCAGTGATCGCCTATATGCATGGCTATCCTCTGGGAAGTTGTTACTGTTGGTTCATTACTTCACAAATACTATGAAAAAATAGTTAAAAGTACTTTTTGGACCAGTGTCTCAGTACCATATATGGTTAATAAAATTTAGCAAGAGATTCCTCTAAAAACCAGTTAGCAAGGATGACTTTTGCTTCTGGCTATAATGAGATAGGATAGTATTAGTCTAACCCTACCCCCCCAAATTAACTTTAAACCCTGGAAAATTAGTAAAAGCTAGTTTAAGTTCTCATACGACAAACTACATAGAAAACACACATAATGGAATAAGATCTCAAGGGGAAGGACATTGAGATGAGTCCCACATTCACCCTAGTCCCCACCCCACCTTGGGTCCAAGGCCAGGATTTTCACAGCCTCATTGGATTGGGTGACAGAATTGGAGTTAGGGGCTTCCAAACTGTCAGGGTCTGAAGAGGCCCAAATTCTAGAGAATAGGGAATCACAGAGAAATCTAACGGACTTTGTGTAATTGCCTGCTGTGAAGATGCATATGTTCTGGATGAGATGCCAAAAAATTAATGTGAAACAATTTCTTAGAAACCAAGCAGAGATTCTGATCATCTTGTGATGCAGGGAGACAGAGATTGGAGTTCAGGATATGCCAAACGGAAGGGGCCTTGGTAAATACTCTATGATTTCAATTAGGACACTCTAGGAGTAAGGACAACCCAGAAATAAGACAGCCCTCACAAACACTGAAGTCTGTCTTCAGCTWTAGCAGTGCTTGGCTCATTCTCCATCAGCCTTCTGGAAGACAAACCCTTTCTTAAGAGCTTCTGTAATTTTTCGTGAAAAATATTTTGGCATTCAAAAATACCAGGTAATGAACAAATGGCCAGAAATATGGAAGAAAAACAGACAACAGAAACAGGTAATCTATATTCTAAAGTTATAAGGTAGCTACTTTAAAATAACTATGATTAATATAATCAAGAAAAGAGAGGAAAAGGTCGAGAATGTCTTCAGATTACTGATATCTGTTTTTTTTAAAAAAAAAATTAATGAAAATATTAGAGCTGAAAAACAGTAGCTGAAGTTAAGCCCCCTGAGGGTCCCCTTCAGTCTACACAGTCTGTGATGTCAAAACAGAGAACATAGTGCTGGTGGAGAAGCTGGACAGTAACGAAGGAAACCCTAAAAGGGAAGGAGACTCTGACCCGGTGAGCCCCATAAATTATGTATGAATTCTGCCTATTCCTGACTAACTACAAAACTACACATGTAGGGGGAACCCAGTGAGTGTGACTAAATAAAAAAAAAAATCCTCTGGAAGCTAGAAGAACTGAGAAGAAACTTCAGCTTCTCTTCACTGCAAGGGTAACAGTGGATGAATCTAGCCAAGTCTTTTTTTTTTTTTTTTTTTTTTTTACTATAACAAAAGTCATTCTTCAGAAAGACTGTCAGAATCAACAGACTTTACAGTATGTCCAAATGGCCAAAATAAAATTTAAAAATCACTAGGCATTTGAAGAGTTAGGAAAACATGAGCTGTAATGAAGATATACAAAGTCAATAGAAACTGACCTTTTGATGATGCAATTAGCAGTCGAGTTCATAAAGCAGCTATTAAAAATGTATTCAGGGACTTACAGTATTCACAATGAATGAGCAGATGAGGGACTCTCCACAGACAGAAACTGTTTTTAAAGAACCAAAGAGATGTTCTAGAGATGAAAAATAAATAACTAAGTTTAAAATTTTGCTGGAGATGCTTAACAGTAGATTGGAAACCAAAGAAGAAAGAGTAAGTGAATTAGAAGACAGAGCAGCAGGGATTATCTAATCTGAAAATGGAAAGGAAAATATTTTTTAAAATAGAGACTCAGAGTCTAAGAGGACAATATCAAGTAATCTGTCATTGGCATAATTGGAATTCCAGAAGGAAAATAGATATGGGTRGAAAATTTATCTGAAGAGATAATGACCAAAACTTTCCAAAYTTGTAGACAAAACAAACTTTCAGGTCCAAAACACTCAAGCAGGCTATACACAAAGAAAACCATCCACAGGCACAGTATAATTCATCAGTAGAACTCCAAAGGCAGAATTTCAAAAGCAGTAAGAAAAAATGTCTTATTACATATAAAGAACAACATGTATGATGCCTGACTCTTCATCATAAGTAATATAATGGATACAATGAAAATCCCTCTTACAGTGTTAAAAGACAAAATCTGTCAACCTGGAATTCTGTATCTAGCAAATAGAATAAGGTGGGTGAAGAAACGACATATGCAAATAAATAAGAACTTAGCTAATGATCATGAAATCTGCACTACAAAAAAATAGTATGGAAATATTTTTCAGACTAATAAGAAATTCTAGATAGTAACTTGCATCTACAAATAAAAATGATAAGCACTGGAAATGATAAATATGTSTGTAAATAAAAAAGCAGATATAACTGTTTAAAGCAAAAATTATGCTACTATATTTGGGGATTTAAAACAGATTAACAACATTACACAAAGAATGGGGAGTTTAAAATAATACAGTATTAGCTGTWTGTAATTCATGATAAGTTAAACATGCATATTTAGTCACATTTTTTTTAGAAAGGAAAGATAAAATAGCTAAATTCCTGTTGAGGAATTAATATAGAATACTAAAAATACATTTGATTATCAGAAAAGAGAGATGGCAAGGAGAAACTAAAAAGCAGAAAAATAGAGAGCAAATATAAAATAGAAGACCTAAACCCAACCATTTTAATAATCATATTAAATGTGAGTAGAATAAATATTCCAATTAAAAGGAAAATACTTTCAGGTTTGATAGAMAAGCAAGACTCAACTATATGCTATCTGTAAGGGAAGTACTTTAAAAACAAACACATACAGAATTCCAGGTTGACTGAAGGTAAAAAGATTAAAATATATACACTATGCAAGCTGCATAAGAAAGCAAGAGTGACTATGTTAATATCAGACAAAATAGACATCAAGACAGGGATTTTTACTAGACGTAAAAAAGAGTCATTTCATATTGACAAGTCAAGCACCTCAGGATGTGACCTATGTCACATCTAAGTACATAAGCACCTAATACCAGCCTTAAAACTGAATGAAGCAAAAACTGACAGAATTATAGAGAGAAATAGACAAATCCACAGTCATAATTAAAGATTTTAACCCTTTCAGAAATTGAGAGAACAATGAGGCACAAAAAATCTGAAATCATAGGAAAATGAGTAGCTCTACCAAAATTCTTAATAACTTAATTGACATCTATAAAACACCACATCCAACCACTGCAGGGTACATTCTTTTTCAAGTGTAAAATGAACATTCACTGAGAGATTGTGTACTGCGTCATTAAAGACAAAAGGTAGGGCTGGGGATGTGGCTCAAGCGGTAACGCACTCACCTGGCATGTGCGGGGCGCTGGGTTCCATCCTCAGCACCACATAAAATAAAAATAAAGACGTTGTGTCCACTGAAAACTGAAAAATAAATATAAAAAAGACAAAAGGTAATAAGGATGCTAACACACAATAAGGTAGGGGGAGGGAAAACTAGACAAAAGGGAGTGAAGGGAAGAGGGGTGATGAGAGTAGGAAAGACAGTAGAATGAATCAGACATAACTTTTCATTTTCATATATGAATACACAACCAGTGTAACTGCATGTCAGGTACAACCACAAGAATGGGAAGTTATACCCCATGTATGTACAATATGTCAAAATACACTCTACTGTCATGTATATCTAAAAATAATAGATTAAAAATAATCAGGTTAAAGAAAAAAATAGGTAAATAAACAATAGTTGGAAATTTAGCTATACACTTTGACCATAGAGGATGAGGTAGAGGGAGATAGCCAGGGGTCCTGGTAAAGCATAACCTGGGCAAGGTGGACGAGAGTTGAGAATCCAGGAGAAGGATCTACCTCATCCAAGGGCCTATAAGGAAGGAAAAAGGATATATCAGGTGTGAGAGAAGGGATTGTTATTATTTTTGTTTTTAAAAATTAAGATGCATTTATGTGCCCTATGCTGTAATTAAGGGCCTCAATTTCTTACTGTCAGAAGTCACCTGCCAAGCCTGAGGAGTTTGGAATG